GATGGCAGTACACCTGTAATCCCGGCACTCAGGAGGTAAGGCAAGAGGATCATGAGTTTAATGGCAGCCTAGGCTACTAGCAACAAGGCTATCTCAAAAAATGGAAACGTGGGGGCTGGAGAGATGGCTCAGCAGCTGAGAGCACTGGCTGTTCTTGCAGAGGATCAAGGTTTCATTCCCAACACCCACATGGCAGCTAACAACCATCTGAAGCTGCAGTTTCAGGGGATCTGATGTCCTCTTCTGGCCTCAGTGGACATTACACTAGAAGGCTGCATGCAAATCTTCTTTTTTTTTTATACACAAGACCTGACATACCTGGGACACAGGACCTGGAGCATTGAGCTGAATGACCTGGAATCCTCCTCCCCAGAGACTAGCTCTCATAGTACGAGAAGGCACTATGCAAGCTGCCAAAGCAGAAAAACCCATCAACGATCCTACCCAGCTGCAAACGATCACTGATCAACTACGTCCAAAGCAGAGAAACTTAAGAATCTGCTACTGCTATCCTTAGAAACCAGTATCATATTTAAACAGTTAAAACCAGAATAAGAAGAGGTCACCAGAAAAACAGATACAAGCAGGGATGTCTTAAGCTCCAAGTTTAGATACACCACCCTCTGGTCTAAAACAGGCTAGGTTGGTCCTGCCATTCTGAGACTCCCAGAGCATAAAACAACACAGGGCTGGAAAGGGCTCAGTGGTTAAGAGCACTGGCTGCTCTTGCAGAGGACATGGGTTTGGTTCCCATCACCCTTATGGGGGCTAACACCATCCATAACTCCAGTTCCAAAGAATCGATGCCCTCTTCTGATCTCCATGGGCACTGCACATATGTAGTACATTTACATACATGCAAAACACTCATAAACATAAAATTAAAATAAATTTTTAAAAACCCAGCCAGGCATGGTGGCTCACACCTATAGTCCCAGCACATGGGAGGCAGAGGCAGGCGGATCTCTGTGAGTTCAAGGCCAGCCTGGTCTACATAGTGAGTTCCAGGACAGCTGGGGCTACAGGGAGGCCCTGCTTCAAAAAGACAAAAAAAAAAAAAATCCAATAGACCTATTTGTCCAAAGCTGTGTTTGCACTACCATTCTGAGAATCCCAAAGCATAAAACAAGAAGTGAATCTACTTGTCCATAAATTTGCACTAATAAAAATAAAGTCAAAGCACTTTTTCTACAAGGCTATTAGTAAAAATCTAGGAAACACAATTTGTGATCATCAAGAGCTTGTGCCCGTGTTCTCTATCTTTAAGACCAGGGAGTATATCTTTCAAGATATTATATAGTGTTTCTAGTTAGCAAGATAGATACAACAAACATATATTACTAGTCAATACTTAATAAATTTCTAACACATCATGACTAGTGATCTTTACTTTCAAGGTATTGCCAAGAGGGTATGGTAAGATTGCTCAACAGATAAAAGCACCTGCCACACAAGCCTAGTCACCTGAGTTCCAGCCCCAAAAGGTGGAAAGAGACTTCACAAAGTTGTTCTCTAACCTCCACACACACGCCATGTGTACCCACAGACACACAATCATGGGATAAAAAAATTAAAAATCAAGTTATTACAGGGGCTGGAGAGGTGGTTCAAGGGTTAAGAGCACTTGCTGTTCTTCCAGAGGACCTGGGTTCCATTCCCAAAACTCACATAGTGGCTCTGTCACCCTCTTCTGGCTTTTGTGGGTACTGTACACATACTAGGTATACATGCAGACAAGCAAAACACAAACACAAATAAAAATAAATCATTAAAAAAGAGATATTAAAAGAATCAAGTTACTGCAAAGAAGTATATGAAAGAGGCCCAAGGATGTAGTTCAGAAAGACAGTGCTTTCCTAGCATTTGTGAGGCCCTGGGTTCTAGCTCAAAGACTGGCGGGGAGGAGCACACACACACAAAAGGTGCAGGCAGCCTAACAGGCCACTGAGAATTCACAATTTCTACAAAAATGCCTTAGACCCTTCCCACACATGCCCCAAGGAAATAAATGACAAATCATTCAGATTTGAGAAAGTAAAAAGAAGTAGAATGAGTAACAGAAACTATCAAGGTTCTAACACTAACTGAAGAATGCACTCTAGAGACGTTTTATTCACATGTGTGGGTAGAAAGACAAAGTGTTTAAGTAAGGAAACAAAGGAGCTACAGTAGCTCCTAGGTCATAAACTCTGTTCACATTCACTGATATTCCCAGGTTGAAAACCGCAGTGGCAAATTCAAACTCAAGATCAGATCACCTACTGTAACAGAGAAAGCCAACACACTCAAGGGCCTATATTCAGCTTTACCCAAAAGCTCCCGGCTGGCACCTCTTCATGCTTATTGATCAACAGCATCCCATATATCAGCTACCAAACACTTTAACCATCACATGAATCTAGCTAATATATCTCACAGAAAGCTTTTTAAAGACATCAACAGTTCAGCTTAACAGTTATAGATAATCATACGCAAAGCTCAATGTTAGGTATTATGGGTAAAAAGGTAAAAGGTGGACTGGGCTAGAGAGAGCACTCAGCCATTAACAGTGGATAACTGCTCTTGCAGAGGACCAGGATTTGGTTCCTAATACCCATATGAAGTGACTCACAACCACCTGTAACTCCAGATCCAAGGATCTAATACCTCTTCTGGCCTCCCCAAGCACATGCATCTACACACGTGCATACATACGACATAAATCTTTTATATTAAAAAGCGGCAAAATGTGGATGTAGTCTTGCACCTCTCTGCAATCCCAGCACTTAGGAGGGTGAGGTAGGAGGACTATGAGTTCAAGGCTAACATGGATTGTAGAGTGAGTTAGTTCAAGGCTAGCCTAGGCTACAAAGCAAGATAGTCTCAAAAATTAAACACATAAAAGGCAACATATTTCCCTCACATCAAGCAGTTAGTTGACAGTTTAAATATAATTTCCAGCATAATATGACTAGGCTTTATAACAGTTTGAGAAAGTAGAAAGGAGACCCTGAGAGCAAGCAGGGTAAAGTCTATCTGAAGGACACTACCAGTAAATTATGTAAAACAAGAGAAAAAGAGTCGAAATCCAAGAAACCAAGAAAGTAGAGGAGGTGAGAAGAAAGCAGGTGGTGAGAAGATAGTAATAGGAGGTGAGAGATGCTTGATATGAATAAAAGCATGCTTTTCTTATTAAAGATTATTTTTATATATAGGAGGTTTATATTTTTTATATTTTTATATGTAGGAGGCACCTGAATGCAGGTGCCAGCTTAGTTCAGAAATGGGTGCCAGAACCCCTGAAGCTGGAGTCACAAGCAGTTATGAGCCACTGTGTGGATGCTAGAAACCAAACTCGGGTCCTCTGCAAGAGCAGTACCTGTTCTTAGGGGCTGAGCCCCCTTCTCCAGCCCATGAAGATGAAAATTACACCCCAGCCCATTCTGTAGGGGGATACTAACAGGATGAATGAATGCGGGAGTACCTCAAGCCTCACAAACTCTTCCTGAACAAGCAAGAGTTGGCTGCTGATAACAATGTCACTGAGTATCAAAAAAAGTTTTAAAATGTCTTGATGATAATTTAAGATGCCTTGGAAACATTCAAAGTAGATAAATCTAAGATGTCTGGTCACATTAGTCAAAGGCTCCAGGAAAGGTTATAGTTAGGGACAGATTTAAGAATGAAAATTCATGAGGATGGGTATGGTGGTGCACAACTCTAAACCCAGCACAGGAGAGGCAGAGGCAAGTGAACCTCTGTGAGATCATGGCCAGCCTGGACTGCACAGCCAGCCAGGGCTACAGGGAGACTCTGTTATCAAAACAACAACAAAAAAGGAAAAGCTATGACTAAGAATAAGATCACCCCCAAAATATTAAGAATAAAATGTGAAGTGGTTCAGGCATGAAAACTAGGGTAATTTAACATGTAAAAGACAAAGAGATGTTAGATTTTGTTCCTTTCTTCTTGATTATTCTTCTTTAAAAAAGTCTTTAAATTCATTTACAAAAGAATACTACACTGCATCTCAATCTCTACTGTGAAACTTCCAACAGCAACTATAAATGGGTTCCTCTGTTCTGGTTTTGAAAAATTCATATTATAGATTTTTTTAAAGTTTAATGGTTTTCTTTAAATGGTCATACTAGTGAAAACCGAGATTAAAATATTTCCCAGTGATTATTTTTAAGTACCGGTTTTAAATCAGGATTGAATCACACACATGTTTTGGGTAATCACAGGACAGAACTGAGGTCACAAAAGATGACTAATACATGGTCATGGTTAATAATAATGACATAATATATAAAAAAAAAATTCAGTTTATAAAAAATACACTAGCCGGGTGTGGTGGCTCATGCCTGTAATCTCAGTACTTATAAGACTGAGGCAGAGCAATTTCTGGGAGTTCCAGGTCAGCCTAGACTACAAAAACCCTGTCTTGAGCTCCTCCCACCACAAAAACCTCACTTAAAATGAAGTTAACAATTAACTAGCTAGTTAAATCCCAAGAGGCAATTCCTTTCCTAATTTTAGGTTTTGTATAGTATCATTACAAACTAATAAACAATACTAAGGAAAGCAAACGCTACATAGTTTCAGTACCTCACTTGTCAACCGTATTAGGAGAGCTGCAGCCTCTGAGTATTTGCTTTGGCTTTTTAAAATTTCAGCACTAAGCAATACACATCTTTCAGCCAGCACCATATTCCTAAACAAAAACAAGATAAGGAAAGACAGTCAGCATCACAGTAATACTTTGACAGTTACCACATGTTCAGGAAGATTCTGCTTACAGATTTGAGGAAGCCTGTCTTGGCAGCTGTTTACTGATCTTCACTGCTAAGACCACCCACTTTGAGTTCTAACTCAGAAAGTGTCACTTTTCCTTTTTCCTCTTAGATAGAGGCCCAAACAAAGAAAAAAAAAAGCTAAAATGATCTGTCAAAAACTTTCTACGAACTGTTTTCTCACACAAAGATCTGTCTTCATTTCTATAAACTGACAATTTAAAAATATTTTGATTATGTGTGTGTGCCCACACATGCACACACATACATCATAGCATTTGTTTGAAGGTAAAGGAAAGCTTGCTGGAGTTGGTTCTCTCCTTCCACCATGTGGACCCCAAGTATGAACTCAGGTCATCAGCAAGCACCTTTACTCGATGAGCCATCTCACCAGCCCTATTAGCCCCTTACTCCACATGTACCTGTCACAAATTCTGATCTTCTTGAAGAGAAGGAAAATTACTTCAGAGAAAGAATATTCAGCCAGGTGTGGTGGCAAATGCTTTTAGTCCCAGCACTTGGGAGGCAGAGGCAGGCCGATCTGTGTGCGTTCAAGCCTAACCATAGTGAGTTCCAGGAACAGCTGGGACTACAGGGAGACCCTGTCTCAGAAAGACCAAAAAAAAAAAAAAAAGAAAGAATATTCAAGCTTCAAAACTTCTTGAAGCTGGTTTTCTATCCTGAAGGCTGTATCTGCTATTATAATCTACAAATGCATTCCTTAATTTTTTAAAAATCATATTTTAACTATACTTTAAGTATTTCATACATGCATACAATATATTTTGATCATATTCACCACCCCCATACTCTCAACCCACTCCCTTAAGTTCTCCCCACCATATCCACCTGCCAACTTCATATCCTCTTTTCTTCTTTTCAGGAGCCCACAGAAATAACACAGGTTACTGCCAGCCCTTGATTATTTCTGGAACTTAAATTTGAGTAAGAGCTACCAAGTTTGAAATGCTGAGGACAGGACATACTTGGGATATAGGACTTGGAGCAATGGAGCTGGAACCTACTTAGAAGCCTTCTCCCTGAAGACTAGCTCTTATAGTTCTAAGGATACTATGCAAGCTGTTAAGGTAGAAAAATCAACCAATGGTCCAAGCCAGCTTTAAAGTCTAATAGCCACGACTGGCACCGCAAACTATATTGGTGCAGTATTGGCACTGTTATCTAGGGAGTAATCAACAGCTATCTAATTGGACTTAAAGCCCTTTTAGTAGCTCATGGTGAATTAATGGGAGTCATTGCACACACAGCCAAATATACATGGCTAGCAAGGTCATACATCTAGAGAAAACACTATTTCTATCATAACTCTAGACAAATATGAAATTTTTTACCATACGCTACATATGGATCCTTATATTTACAGACAAGTGAACTGCCCACCACTAATCAAAGAAGCATCTTTCTGCAACAGGTGGAAGCTATTACAGAGTTCCACAACTGGACACACACAGAGAATATATGTCTGAGAGATACCCAAACCTAGGTGATACATCTACAATGAAACCTCTACACCTAAGGCTCACAGAACATAGTGGAACAGGGGGTTGACAGCATGCTGATGCATCCCTCAACTCTCACCGCCAAGCTTCCTTATACAACAGAATGTGATGCACACAGAAGGCTACAACTGGCTAAGTTTAAGAGACTTCAGATTGTGTATCCCAAGATAGGATTCCTATTATTAAACCTCACCCACCCACAGCTCAAGGATCATTGTACAAGAGAGGGTGGAAAGATTATAAGAGTCAAAGTTGGTCCATGAACATAGGAACAGGCTTTCAGGCCCCTGGAAGTTTGCTCATGTGAACTTGCAGCAATGGAGGCATCCTGCACAAGACTCGATCAGCCAAGGGCCCAAGGTGGAGCAAAGAAAATGGGTGGCAGGCCCCAGCCTTAGCCTGGGAACCGCTGGCAACTGATTACTCCTGGGTGAAGTAGAGCAGATCTTTAAGATCTCTAGATAGGCTGACTAGACTCCAGAGGATGAACTTGCACTGAAGGACATCTGGGTATAAATGCAGGCATGGCTGCACACACCTTTAATCCCAGAACTTGGGAGACAGAGGCAGGTGGATCTCTGTGAGATTGAGATTGAAGCCAGCGTGGTCTACATCGAAAGTTCCAGGCCAGCTGTAGCTACAAGGAGACACTGTCTCAAAAAGACAAAAAAAGAAAAAAATCCTGAACAAATAGGACTTTACATGACAGAATGCTGGGGAGGGCTGGTGAGGGGGGGCATAGATAGGGAAGGGGGGTCTAAATTTAATTAAGAGCTATTGTATGAAATGCATAAAAATATTAAAGAAGGAAAAACTAGCCAACAGTTATTAGTTCTAACTGTACACTCATGGTATAGGGACCATCAACCTGTACTTGGGCAGCCTACCAGCAGCTGCACCCCAAAAGAAAATTGATTCTCCTTGCCCTAGCAGCCATCAATAGTCAAGAGCTCCTTAGTTAGGGTGAGGCCTAGGGAACCTCCATCCTCCTTTCATTTATTTTTACTTTTTTGAGGCAGGGTATCACTCTATAGCCCCAGTTGTCCTCCAACTTGCAGCAATCCTGCCTCAGCCTCTCAAGTGCTGGGATTTTACATGTGAGTCACCAAGCCCAATTATAAATACTCTTTTTGGTTTTTGCCTTTTTATTGGGGGGGGGGGGTTGAGACAGGGTCTCCCAATAGCCTCAGCTGATATGGACCAGGCTGGCCTTGATTTCACAGAGATTCTCCTTACCTGCCTTCAGAGTGCTGGTGTTAAAGGCATGCACCACCATACCTAACCCATAAAAACTTAATCTAAATACATGCAAAGGTATAAGAGACAGGATTCCATACTGTTTCTACCATTATATCCCCTTAATCCTATTAAATTATTTTAACATTCCATTTCCTTATATATAAAACAGGAATGATGGCACCTGCCATGTCACAGATTCGCTGCAAAGATTAAACAAGAACGTAAACAGGTGGTGGCAGGCAGACATTGGAGAGTAACAGCTAACTTTGCAGTTATGAACAAGGCTGTACTAGGAACACTGGTGTATTCTGAACACTAGTGTGCTATGCACACTGGTATGTTATGAACACTACTCACTACTGTATTGTGAACACAGTTGTACTGTGAACACTGGTATATTGTAAACACTGCTGTACTGTGAACACTGCTATACTGTGCACACTAAAGTATTATGAACACTGGAGTACTGTGAACACATCTGCACTGTGAACACATCTGTACTGTGAACAGTGCTGTATTGTGAACACTGGTGTACAGTGAACACTGCTGTATTGTGAGCACTAGTGTACTAGGCACAGGCTGTACTGTGCACACGGCTGTACTGTAAACACTACTGTCTTGTGCATACAGCTGTACTGTGCACACTGCTGTCACTATAGTTTCCACCTCTGGACTCACTGTGAGTTCTGCACTCTGCCTTCCACTGTATCCCTTCTACAACAGGAAAAGGAGGGGCTAGGCATGTTGTTCCAAGGTAGAGTGGCTGCCTAGAAAGAGCATAGCCTGGGGTTCAATTCCCAGCACCATGAAGACAAGTCTGGCTAAGCTTTCTAAAAAATAACTTTTCTGATGACAAATGGCTACTCAAATATTAATTTTCTCTTTGCTACTATACATAACCTTTAGTTCTAGCTTCAGATGACAGTTAAGGTTCCTAATGCTAATTCACCTCAAACCTTTTTCAAATGTGTCCCTCACCACTTTCCATACACATAAACTGACCATTAACAGCAATGCTATACATAAAGCATCCTTCTGTAATATAAGTCACAATTCCAGAAATATTTCCACAGTTTCCAAACCCAAGCACCCTGCTCTCAGGTCTACCTATCAAATATCTCAAGAGCCTCCTTCTGACAGCTATGGGCAGTTCATAGTCTGGTTAATGAGATTCTAATAGCACTCACTTTTTCTCTTCCCCCAAGTCTATTACTTGATGCTTCATATTTCTGCCTAATTAACAAGGAAATTCAAAATGGCTAATTTGTCTTGAATGTCCCACAAGATAAACACCCTCAGTATAGCACAGAATGTGCACACTACACACAAACTCATCACCCACAAATCCAAACTAAGTAGGAACTGAAAAGAGGCCACAAAACACTATTTTCATCTCAACATGTCTCTGAAATTTGAGAACTATTTATAATTGATAACATAAATATCAAATTTATCTCAAAATGAACAAAATGCTAGTGTCACCTACTTGCAGATGTCCCTGTAGGTCTGAATCGCTGTCTCCATGTAATGAGCAGGATACGGCCTAGGCGCTCCTGGATGAAGGAAGGCTGACACTGCTGCCATTTCCTACAGCAAGAAGCATAGCGTTTCAAAAGAAGAAATGTTCCTGTTTGACACTCAAAAACTTAAAACTGGAATGAAATACTGGAGGTCTCATATCACACATGTAAATATTATAGTCTAATGCAGACTCAAAAAACATATTAAGGGGGCTGGAGAGATAATTCAGCAGTTAAGAGCACTGGCTGCTCTTACGGAGGACCCAAGTTCAATTCCCAGCACCCATGTGATGACTAACAACGGTCCATAACTCCAGTTCCAGGGGAATTCGACGCCCTCTTCTCACCTCTGCAGGCATTGCACATGGGTGCACTTACATACATGCAGGCAATACACTCATACACATAAAAATAAATATCTTAGCCGGGTGTGGTGGCACACGCCTTTAATCCCAGCACTTGGGAGGCAGAGGCAGGCAGATCTTTGTGAGTTCAAGGCCAGCGTGGTCTCACATCTTAGTGAGTTCCAGGACAGCTGGGGCTACAAGGAGACCCTGTCTCAAAAAAGACCAAAAAATAAATAAACAAACAAATAAATAAAAATAAATAAATAAATATTTTAGAAATATTTTTTGAACATATTAAAACATACTTATATGCTTTTGTTTTAAAATTCTGGTCTTTGCTGGATGTGGTGGCATATGACTTTAATCCTAGCACTCAGGAGGCAAAGACAGGCAGATCTCTGAGAGGTCAAGTCCAGCCTGGTCTCATACAGAGTTCCAGGCCAACCAGGGCTACATAGTGAGAACCTGTCTTAAGGGAAAGAAAAAGAGGGAGTGGAGGGGATGGACATTATACAGTCAAGTATCATTTAATAACAAAAGTATGTCCTGAAAACTTCGTGGTGAGATGATTTTATTGTGCAGCCATCAGAGTGTACTTATATAAACAAAAATGACTACAGCATCACTAGGTGATAAACTTTGGGAAGGTTGTGCCTTTTTGAGTCAGGGTCTCCCTGTAGCCCCAGCTGGCCTTGAAATCACAGAGACCCGCCTGCCTCTGCTTCCCAAGTGCTAGAACTAAAGGCATGCAGCACCACATCCAGCCCCAGTGATAGACTTAAAGCAATAATTTTATAAGATCAACCATCATCATATAGTCAATCTGTTGTTACGCAACAAGCTGTATAACACTATATTTTTCCCATTTTATCTATTTGATAAATACCACATGTAAGTTGTTTAAAGCAAAGATATCAGCTGTGTGAAAGAAAACAGTATAGTGCCAGAAAATAAAGGTGTATTTATTATAACATTTACATTCACAACTATAAATGAAATGTATTTTAGCAGATATCCCACAATACAAACACCTTCAATATAGCAAGACTCACAGCACAGCAGACTGGAGGGTTCCTCATGGTAACCTAATACCAAATCTAATACCAAATTCTAAGTACTGGTGGGGTTGAGGTGAAGAGGAGCTTCTAACCAGTGGAATTACCAAGAAGGCGCAGGAGGAAGTAAAGCCTAGCCAGAGTCCAAAGCCAAACAATGGGATGCATGGTAGGCACTTCTCTGGAGAAATCCACGTGAAGCAAAGTGTTAATAATTTTAATTTTCTTAGAAGGAAGCCAAGGACTAGGGATGTAGCTCAGTAAGTTACAGAACACTTGAGTACCACATGTGAGGTCCTGGGTTTGATCCCTAACACCATAAATAAATGACAAATAAATACCAACCAAGGCACCGGCTGCATAAAGCATTGCTTGATCATTAAGAAAATCCTTTTTTGCCGTATGATAGCAACTGTAAGCCAAATCATAATGCTGCACCAAAAAGCACAAGTCAGCCATTTTCCTGATTTGAAGCTCAGGAGCTTCTGGTGGATACCTACAAATATAAAATAAGGAAAGGAAATAGTTTAAAAAGTATGGCCCATGACACCATCAAATATATAATGTGCAGCAAGCTGTTCAACTACCCAGAACAAGAGGAAATTTTATCCTGTTTTATAACTATTCTATCTTCAAGGAAGAATCTCAATTTTCAAAACTATTTGAAGACAAAAAGTTGCTTAGTATATTTAACTTATAATCCTGGGAACTTCTCAACACCAGACCAGCATTTTTCCCATGATCAAGTTATGAAGTAAATACTTAATATGAGGTGACTAACATTTGGATTCATTTCATTTTCCATTAAAGCAAGATTCCGTAAAAGCCAAAATTTCCTGAATATAGCCTTATCTTAGAAGAATGAGGAACAGCTTGGTGTTATGGCACATACCTATAATCCCAGCACTTCTGAGCCTAAGAAAGGAGGATTCCAAGCTCAAGGCCAGCTGGGGCAATATAGCAAGACACTCCCCCCACCAAAAAATAAAAATTTATATTTAAAGAAATTTAAAACTCATTTAGACAAAAAGGTCTATTAAGGAATACCCAATCCATCTCCATTTTCTTACAACTAGAAAAATAAGTCCAAAATAAATGACTGGGTTACGAATTTTGGGTTTTGCTTATGACCATCCCAGTCATAAGCTTTTGGCCAGGTTTACAGTACCAACCAAGAACTCATTCTTGTGGAGCAGGTATCAAATCCAATCCAAAAGCAGTTGGTTACCCCCATCACATTCATGCCACTACTGCACTGGTGAGCACAGGCTGCCTCGCAGCTCAGTTTTGCAGCATACAGGATTCAGTGCTGGGTACACCTACTCACGACTTTTCCCCCCAGTAGCCTACAGAGATCTTCTGGCTCCATGAAACCTAACCATCAGGGAGGAATTATCCAGGTCAGTTCCAGCTTGTTTTCTCTGTGTTCAGCAGTAGGGGCTTAGTTCTGGTGGGCAACCAAGAGCAATGGAAAGAGCCAATGATGTTTGGCACAAAAGTTTGTTTTAAAATGTCTAAAGTTTTATTTTAAATGTCAGGCTGGGCATAGTAGTTCACACCTGTAATCCCAATCCTAAATCAGCCTGGGCTACAAAGCAAGACTATGTCTCAAAAGAACAAACTGATTAATTAATTGAAAAGTCCAATTACAACCAGGGCTATATAGTGAAACCCTGTTTCAAAGAAAAAAAACATATAAATAAAAGATCATCTTTATCAGACCAATTAAATTTTTAAAAAGAGAAAGAAAAAAATAGTAACAGTTAGGCATGGTAGTGCATGCCTTCAAACCCAGCACTCAGGAGGTAGAGACAGGTGGATCTCTCTTGAGTTTCGGGCCAGTTTGGTCTGTATAGCATGCTCTGGGCCAGCTAGGATTATATAAGACATTGTCACAAAATAAAATTTAAAAGTCCAAATATAAGGTTTTAAAAAATATTTTTATTATTTTTATTTTATGTATTTTTATGAGTGTATTGCCTTCATATATGTGAGTGCACCCCTGTCATGCAATGCCATGGAGGTCATCGAAGAGGGCATCAGATTCCCCTGGAACTGGAGTCATGAACAGTTCATAGCCACCAGCCATGTGGGTGCTGGGAATTGAACTCAGGTCCTCCACAAAAGCAGTCAGTGCTCCTAACTGCTGAGCCATCTCTCCAGCCCCAAAATATAGTTATTTTTAAAATTGGAATTTAACTAGTCACTTTCTTAGATATCTCGAGTTTTTACCAATATGAAAATAAGTAAAAAGACAATTGTGGTGGGGTAGCTAAACACTGGAGAGAATTAAACATAGCAAAATAAATATAGTAATATTTTACTCACAGCAACCCAGACGTATTCTTCAGTTCACTAATGCTCTTTTCTGGAACTTTACTCCCACTAAACCATTTTTTAGTTGCAGAAAATAGAGATCGACTTAAACCTTTTCTTGATATTAGCTAAAGAAAAAGAAAAGACTAAATATGTTGACAAATACAAAGGCTTGAAATCTTTTATATACAAAAAAGTTTATAAAATTTCAGTCAGGCACAGTAATGCACACCTTTAATACCAGCACTAAGGAGGCAGGGGCAGGCAGATCTTTGTAAGATCAAGATCAAGTCTGGTTTACATAGTGAGTTCTAGGCCAGCTGGGACCCTGCCTCAAAATAAAAAATAAAAAGTTTTAATAGTAAATGTTTCTTGTTGTTTGGTTTTGGCTTTTTTTTTTTTTTTTTTTTTTTTTTACTGGTCTCACTACATAGCCCCAGCTGGCTTGAAACTCACTATGTAAACCAGGCTGGCCTCAAACTTAAAGAGATCTGCAGATCTGCCTGCCTCTGCCTCCAAATCCTGGATTAAAGGCATGCACCACCATGCCTGGCTGAGTAAATGTTCACTTTAGTAACAGTTTAAAAAAAAGAAACTGGTCGGGCGTGGTGGTACACGCCTTTAATCCCAGGATTCAGGAGGCAGAGGCAGGCGGGTCTCTGTGAGTTCAAGGCCAGCCTGGTCTACATAGTGAGTTCCAGGACAGCTGGGGCTACAGGGAGACCCTGTCTCAAAAAGATCCCCCCCCCAAAAAAAATATCTAACATAGGGCCAGAGAGATGCTTAGCAGCTAAGGACACTGGCTGCCTGGCTGCTCTTGCAGACAACCCAGGTCCAGTTCTCAGCACCCAGATGCTAACTCATAACCACCTGTAACTCCAGTTCCAGGAGATCAGATACCATAGTCTGGTTTCCATGGGCACTGCCTGGAGGTACACTTACACATGCAGGCAAAACACACACAAAACAAACAAACAAACAAAAAAAAGCTGTCTGGGGTTGGGGATTTTGCTCAGTGGTAGAGCACTTGCCTAGGAGGCACAAGGCCCTGAGTTCGGTCCTCAGCTCCGGGGCGAGGAGGGGGGGAGGAGCTGTCTAATATACTGAGAACCTTCTAGTGAAAGTGAGTAGGCTCCTCTAGCATTAAACAGAGCTTTACCACAGATGCCAACTTCAGTCAGCTCTCATAGCTTAGTGTAAAACAATCACAAGACCTCGCCTCCTTTAAGTGACTATTATACCACTACTCTAGTCTTAAACTTCTTCTACTGAATTTGAAAATTTACACTTTACTTAATTTGGAAATAATAAAAAAACTTAAGTCTTACCTGATCATTTAATTGCCGAATTGTTTTCTCTATATGTGGCAAAAGGCCACGAAATGTAAACTCCTGGATAAACTGTCGAATTCTGTCATGATCAGTAAGTGTTAAACAAGCTCCATGAGTTACACCAGCAGTTGCTTTCTTTGTTCCAGGTGCAGAGGAAGCAAACTTGGTATGATCTGAGCCATCAGGGTTGTTAGAAGGGTCACTGGATTGGTCCAAATGAAGTGGATGAACCCTCAAGGTATTTGCTAAGCCGTCTACTGCAAAACAGATCTTACTTTTACTCTTGGACCCAACAGAAAAGGCTAACAGTCCTACCACACTACTGAGGAATAGGTGATGAACCCTTTATCCCTGAGTCTTTTAGGAGTCACAATGTTATTAACATTTTCCCATTTAAAATTAAAAGGCTTGAGCCAGAAAGATGGCTCAGCAGGTAAGAATGTCTGCTGGTAAGTTTGACTAGATGAACTCCCTGCAAGTTGTCCACTGACCTCCATACATGGCACCAATTCAAACATACACACACAAATAAATATAATAAAAAAAATTCACGCAAATAAATCAGGAAGCAACACCACAGTTTTTGTCTGGGGGGAGGGGGATGGTAGTAAAATCTCTCTGTAGTCCCAGTTGGCCAGGAACTCACTACGTAGACCAGGCTGGCCTCTATCTCACAGAAATCCACCTGCTGGGTGCTGGGATTAAAGGTATGCACCACCACAACTATTTTCTAAATAACTGAATGAAATCCTTTCTATTAGAAGGGCAAACAAGTAAGATTTTATTGAGGAGAGTACAGCAGGGTAGGATCCTGAAAAGGGGTTGCCTTATATAATGAATTAACTTTTAAATAGCCCAACCAAGCTATAAAGATTGTAACAAGTTGCAGGCACATGGTGGCACAGGTCCACAAACTCAGCACTCATAAGGCTAAGACAGGAGGATCCTGAGTGCAAAGGCAAATAGTAAGTTCCAGAGCAATCTGAGCTACATAGCAAGACCCTGACTTGAACAAAACAAAAAAAGTTTAGAACTATCATTACGAAAACTATAATGTAAAGAATACAGTTCTCAAAAATCAGCTGAATTTAGAAAAATTATTGCATTCCCTTGCTTTCTAAAATAAATCTGGTAACATTATTCTTTTTTTTAAAATAATTATTTTTATTTTATGTGTATGAGTGTATTGCCTGCATGTATGTGAGTGCACCCGTGTCGTGCAATGCCACAGAGGTTAGAAGAGGGTTTCATGTTTCCCTGGAACTGGAGTTAAGGACAGTTTATAGCCATCATGCAGGTCCTTTAGAAGAGCAGTCAGTGCTCTTAACCGTTGAGCCATCTCTCCAGCCCCAACATTATTATTTTTATGTAATATCAATATTTTGATTGGACACGGCATTACCCTTTCCATTTTTTATTTGTGTATGCCATACTATGGGTGCCTGCATAAGCCAGAAGAGGGTGTTGGAGCCCCTGGAGCTGGAGTTACAAGCAGTTGTGAGCCACCTGACATGGTTGCCAGGATCTGAACTCTGGGTCCTCTTAGAAGAGCAGCAAATGCTCTAACCTTTGAGCCATCTCTCCAGCCTTCAAGATACAGTCTATTTTTTTCAATTTTTAAAAATTTATTTCTATGAGTGTTTTACCTGCATGTAACAGCACCCATGCATGCAATGCCCATGTAGGCCAGAAGAGGGTGTTGGATCCCCTAGAACTGGAGTTACAGATCGCTATTAGCTGTCATGTGGGTACTGGGAACCAAATCCTGATCCTCTGCAAAAGCAGTTGGTGCTCTTAATCACAGAGCCATCTCTCCAGCCCTGTATTCTCATAACACACTCTTTAATGTAAAAACAAAAGGCAGAATAAAATCAGAAGAAAAGTTAATCTTTGAGCCAGGTGTAGGGAGCATATGCCTATCATCCCAGCAGTTGGGAAGCAAAGGCAGAATTCTGAGTTCAGGACCAGCCTATGCTACAAAGAGAGACACCTGTAATCCCAGAGACTTAGGAAGCTGAGGCAGGTAAATCCCAAATTAAAGCTCAGTCTGACAACTTAAGTCAATGCCTTGTCTTAAAAATTAAAAAGGGGTGCTAAGCATGGTGGCTCACAGCTTTAATCCCAGGACTTAAGAGGCAGAGGCAGGTAGATCTCTGTGAGATTGAGGCCAGCTGGTCTACAGAGCAAGTTTCAGGCCAGCTGGGGCTACACAGTCAGACCTGGTCTTAAAAAAAAAAAACAAAAAAAAAAACCCAGAAAAGTCCAAAAATATAAAAATTAAAATTAAAAAGGAGCTGGAGAGATGCTCAACAGTTTAAGAGCACATACTGTTTTTGCCAAGGATGGGAGTGTAGTTCCCAGCACCCACATCAGACAGCTCACAACCACCTATAACCCCAGTTCCAGGGGGATCCCACACCTCTGACCTCCTCAGGCACCCGAACTCATGTGTACATACCCACACACACACACGTAGTAAAAATAATAAATCTAAAAACATAATAAAAAAGATAGAGGGTTGGGGCTGTATCTCAGGATGGAGCACTTGCCTGGCATTTGCAAAGCCCTAAATTCAATCACTAGTACTGGAAAAAAAGGGGGAAAGAGGGAAGGTGGTGGGAGGGAAAAGGAGGGAGGTGATAGAGATAGGGATGGGGACGGGGGAGGGTGAGAGAGAGATAAGAGGGGAAAAGGGAAAAAGAGAGGAAGAGGACCAGAATGGGGGTCAGGGTGAGGGGACGAGGAGGGAAGGAAGGAGGAAGGAAAGAAGAGGGGAAAGGAAGGGGAGGAAGGGAAGGAGGGAAAGGAAAGAAGAGAGAATTCCCATCTTCATCTATAGACACTAGCATGCTTTAACAATGATGTATATTTTCAATGAAAAGAGAACTTAGAGAAAGTATAACAAGACCTTTGACTTCGTTATCTATTCCATCCAATGAAAGCAAGTTACTATCAGAATTCTTATTGGAAGTCATAGTACAAGGGCCATCTTCATATGAGTCCTATCAAAATAAGATTTAAAAGCATTAGCAATTGTAATTAATCATGTTTAAAATACCACCAAACCCAGTAATACTTATGACTCCTCTGCTGAATGCTGGCTTCATTTATTTGCTGAAGCATAGTCTTTTTTCTAGTCTTCTAAATTTCTGTGCATCTTGTTCATATTCAATGAACTAACCCAATTCTGCATTCAAATGACCTCTATCTCATGTCTACTCACAGATATTTATAAAGAAACCTAAACATGCCTATGAATCTTAAGAAATAATGGCAAGGAGAATACCACCAGAGCAGGCAGAAGGAAAAAAAGAACAAGTGTAAAAATCTCCCAGGCCATAGATACAATGCTAGGTTGGAGTAGGTTTTGAATATACTTCCCAGGATGCAGAAAAATATCCAAAGCAATGTTTATTTTTACAAAGGCACTAGATTCTCCATCAGAACTCAGTAACAACAGAACACAGTCAGGAAAGGACACTGAAAACCATTCCTCCACATAGACTTAAAGAAACAAGGTATATTTAGCCTGGAATAATATAAAAGGACATAGAACTATTTTTCTGTATTTTGAACACTATCTTAATTTTAAAACCTGATAAGCCCCCCTCTCCAAATGACCAATGCACGCAAGCAGAGAACAATTTTGGTTGATTCTCAGGCTGTTCATCAACAGAACTTGTCATTTAAAGAGACAAATAAAAGCATGACATTAAGGATAATGACATTAAGTGGTAACCTTTAATGTTCTCAAATAAACCCTGGCCTTCTAGATTTCTACATTATAGACTCTGTTCTCAAACTGAGCCAGCCTGGTCTACATATTAAGTCCCAGGTCTACATATTAAGTCCCAGGCCAGCTAGGGCTACAAGGAAACCCTGTCTCAAAAAGACAAAAAAAAAAAAAGTTCTCAAACTGGACTATCAGATTTACACTCCCTTTCACAATCATAGACTGATAAACTCCAAACAAATCAAAAATTTTAGTACTGTTTCGTTTGGAGGATGGCCCTGAAAGACCATTACAAAAAAAAAAAAAAAAAACGCTGTTTCATACCAGCTGACTCTGGTTCTTTACGTGTAAAGATTTTTCCCCAACATAATCTTAAAGAAAGTCAGTTATCATTTCAATATTAAAATGAGTAAAATATCAGACACTATGTCTAGATTAAAAATTCCATATGGCAGAAAAATTAGGAAAATAAAATCTAAATAATATCTCTATTAGATCAATAATTATATAAACTTCAACTGACATTTTTAAAAACATCACATAAAGAGAAAACAATAGTCAACAAAATAGTTAACACTTCATTATCTGAATAAGCAAAGAAACTTGGCGTTTGACTTGTACCAAGTAACATACAGTATAACTCAAATGTTTGAAAGAACATGAAACTTTACACCTATCCACTTCAGCCAACAAATATAATTAACACTAGTTTAGAACTCTAGATTAAGAATGCAATAAGGATGATGCATGGGTTTGGATTTATGGCAGGCCCATCACCCTGGACCTCTCATAAGTGTCCCATGCTAGAGCAACCTGTGACTCCGAACCATTCCCTGGCCTCTGTGCCTGTAGGCTATCGGCACTGAAGTGGGTCTCACAGTCAAGAAAAAAAGAATGCAATAAGGGAGAAATAACACTTCCTTAAGAAATTCTAAAGAAAGGAAGATCAAAGGACAGTTAGAAGAAAAAGCCATCCACTTAAAAAGTATAAGCTCCACAAAGTGGGCACAGACAAGCATGTTGAAAATATAAGTCTAGGTTACTATGAACATTTGCAATGAATTAAATGGACAAGTCAAAATCCTATTCTCTACATGTTTATCCAATCTAAGTCAGTTCCAAGTATGCAATGGACTTATCTTTCAAGAAAAAGAGCAACTAGCACTCTCATCAACCTGAATAGTGCCATGCTTCATTAAAATCCGCCTTTGAGCCACTGTAAGAGCTCACAGCTGACGTATCAGAAGTAGTCAGAATACACAAAATAATAGTAAGTACATGTACTAGACTGCTCGCCACTACACAAGGCAGGTACTTTTAGAAGCAAACTCCTGTGTTAATATATATCTTTAATGTACCCTGTTCTTTATTTTCTGCTAAAACTTCACAGTGTAAAGAGAACATGTCCAGAGGCACTTCTGTCCATCACTTTAATCTTTTACATATGTGCTCGGTGACTCTGAGCTGAGCATGCCCAACAATGTGTCTATCCTTTTCTTCTAAGCTATGACTAAGTCAGGCTTGGTTATAATTAGGTTATAGTTTATATTATATATAATATATATATTAGATTAGGGTTCATCATAGCACTCCAGAGGCAGAGGAAGGTCAATCTTTGTGAGTCTGAGATCAATCTGTTTTACACAGCAAATTCCATGGCCCACCAGAGCTACATCATAAGACTGTAAAACAAAGAAAAAAAAAAAAAAACATAAAAAAATTATGACAAACTCAGCATTCTCGGGAAAGTACTCCTAATAGAGCATATGCAGGATTGGAACCACCCCATACAGATATGTCTAGGCCCCTGAATAAAATCCCTACACTTCCTTTCCCAAGCAGGGCACTGCCTTGGCAGTGACTCCAGTGTTCTCCTGAGCTGCTGCAGGTAATGCTCCAATGTTTTATGTCTTGGCTGTGCTTATTTTGGCTTTGCAAACCCCTTGCATTCAGTTTCAAAATCAGCACTTAAAAACATGTAGACTAGGGCTGGAGAGATGGATCAGTAGTTAAAGAACATTGTTCTTACAGAGAACCCAGGTTCAGTTCCCAGCACCCACATGATAGCTCATAACCTTCTGTCATGCCACTTCCAGGGGATCCGATGCCCTCCTGTGGCCTCCGTGGACACCAGGCACACATGTGGCACATAGATATACATGTAGACAAACATTCATACACATAAAATTAAAGTTTTTTTTACATTTTTAGACCTAGGTATTGCGCCCAGGCCAAGAATGCCAATACTTGGGAAGCTGAGGCAGAAGGATTGAGAGTTCAAGACCAGCCTGAACTACACAGCAAGTTCAAAGACAGTCTGTGCTACATGTGTTTAAAAAAAAAAAGAAGAAGAAAATCTACAATCATATTATCATGTCATAAAACTGAAAAACAACTTTTGTGGTTTGGTTCATTGTTTTTACATATACCTGGGTTTGAATACTATTTTTCTGGAGATACTGACTCCAAGGATCTGGTATCTGTTCATCTGATGCTCGATTTGGTGTTCGAGAATTAATTTTAAGTAAATAGCAACCCTGAGTTCCATATTTCTGTTTCATTTCTTCATAAATTGATTCAGCTCTAAAGAAAAAGAAAGGAAAAATCTTTATAGTAATCTTAAGACTTTGGACAGGATTTAGCAGACTTTAGACAACAGACCTTAATTTTTTCATATATATATGTATGTATGTATTTTTTTTAACTTCTCTTTTAGGGGGAGGGCCACAAGCCACATTGCATGTATGGAGGTCAGAGGACAACTTTCAAGAGTTGGTTTTCTCCTTCCACTATCTGTGGGTTCTAGAGACTAAACTCAGGTCCACCAGGCTTAGCTGTAAAAATCTTTACCCACTAAACATCTCACCAGCCCAAACAAGAGATTTTTATATAATTAAAAAAAAAAACAAAAAACATAAAATAGAAAATTAAGATATAAAATTTTTAGAAATTAACAATGAAAAATCATGATCCTAATTAAAATTAGATCCTACATGAAATTCTAGAAATCACCTTAAAAGTTACCAAAGTGTGTTTCATAAAATAAAATTTCCCAGAACAGTTTCTCCACAGCACAGACTACCTGTGAGCCTTCCATGGCTCCAATGGCTCTAATTTCCAAAGAGCAGCATCTAACTACACAGTAGCCCTTCTGACAACTATGGGAACCAGTCTTCACTTAGTATTACTTGGGAATATCTTTGAAAAACATTAATTAAAGTGCTAAAACAGAAAACTTTAACACCAAAAACCTCCTAGAATAGGACACAGCCTGGGAACTGTTGAGAGAATGCTCACTGCTGGGTGAGAGAGAGTAGATCTTCCTTATGATCTCTAGACAGGCTGACTAGACTCTAGGGGATGAACTTGCACTGAAGAACATCTGGGTACAAATGCTTGACCAGATAGGACTTAACATGTATAGCAGATTACATGAGGTGGTGGCAGGGGGCATGAATGGGGAAGGGGGTCCAAATTTGATTAAGGACTGTTATATGAAACGTACAAAAGCTAGATAAAAAATACTAAAAACTAAAAACAAAGTAAGGAAAGGTGAAAGCAAGCTGAACAGAAGCAGATACTGCCCTCTTACATGGACCCACAATTTCTTCTTGTGAAATTTACAGTAGCTGAATCCTTCAGCTATTTCTCAAATACAGAAAATTCTGTTTTCTCTACTTTAACTCACATAGTGAGTTCGAGGCAGCCTAGACTATAGGAGACTGTTTTAAAACAAACAAACAAAAAAAGAAATGAAAAACAACTAAATATACTAGTTGTTGGCAGATCGGATGAATTCAAATACGACAACCTAAGAAGCAAAGAGAACACTGAGAAATGGCATTCTGCTCCCAATGGGCTAACCCACTGTTCTAGTTTGCCTTCAACTGCCTTGAAACACTCTGACCAACTTAGGGAGGAAAGGGGTTTATTAACTTACATCTCCCAGGTCAAAGTTCATTGCCAAGGGAACCCAAGGTAGGAACTCAGGGCAGGAACCTGGAGGCAGGAGCTAGAGCCCAGGCCATGGAGGAATGCTGCTTACTGACTGGCTTGCTCCCCTGACCCATGCTCAGCCTGCTTTCTTACACAACATCAGCCCACCTGCCCAGGGGTGGCATCACGCACAGTGGGCTGGGCCCTCCCACACCACTCAATAATTAAGAAGATGCTCCACAGACATGGCCATAGGCCAGTCCAATGTAGGCAATTCCCCAGTTGAGGCTCCCTCTACACGCTAAGCCAGTAAAGAGTTGTAAATATTTATATGAATACAGAAATATGCATATTAATATGCACACTGAAGTACAACAAACCGAACTCTGCTCACTTTGTCAATGATACTGCTAAAAAACCTAAGATCCAGGCAAGTGAAAGGTCAGGAAGTAAAAGCACTGTCTGCCAAGCCTGACAAACCTGAGTTGTATCCTCTATACTCACAGTGGAAGGAGAGAACCAGCTCCCACAACTGTCCTTTAACCTCCACACAAGTGCTGCACACATAACTAGTGTGGTGGTCTGAAGGAGAAGTGACCCTCATAGGCTCTAGTATTCAAACATTTGATCAGTTGGTGCCACTATTTAGAAAGGGTCATAAAACCTTTAGGAGGTAAGGCCTGGCTGGAGGGAGCCAATCGCTGGGGTGGGCTTTAAGAATTCACAGCCTTATCCCACTTTCAGTTCTGCTCTCGCTCGTTCCTGTGCATGCTTGAAGAGTTGAGCACTCAGCTTTCTACTCTAGCCATCTCTGCTGCCAAGCCTCCCCTGCCATGATGAATTCTTAAGCCCAAATAAACTCTTCTGTAAGTTGTCTTGGTCATGGTGTTTTATCACAGTAACATAAAAGTAACTAATACACACACAAAATAAAATTAATTTTTTCTTTAATTAAAAATATAGCTGGGTGTGGTGGCACACGCCTTTAATCCCAGCACTCAGGAGGCAGAGGCAGGCAGATCTTTAAGAGTTCAAGGCCAGCCTGGTCTACATAGTGAGTTCCAGGCCAGCAGGGGCTACAGGATACCCTGTCTCAAAAAGAGGGGGAAAAAAAAAATTGGCAGAGTATGCTCAGCATGCACAAATGCACTAGACTCTGGGCTTGATCTCAAACAATCAATCAATCAGTTATTATTTGTATTCAGAACATGAGCAAGAAATTACTATAAAATTACATGTCACAAGTGGCATTCAGGTATCAATAGTAGGAAGCTGGTGTATGCCTTTAACGTCAGCATTCAGGAGAGCACCCTGGTCTATCTACATAGTGAATTCTAGGCCAGGCAGGTATGCATAGTGAGATCCTGTCTCAAAAGAAAAAAAGGAAAAATATGAAACAAAATTAATCTGACTCACACCTTGAAACAAATTCCAAAGCAATAAACATAAATTTTTATGTTTGTATTTCAAAAAGTCATTTTAAGAGCCAAAGAGACAGTTCAGCAGGTAAAGGCACTTGCCACCAAGCCTAATGAGCTGACTGAGTTCAAGTTCTAGGACCCACATGGTGGAAAAGGAACACCAACTCCTGCAAGTTGTCCTCCGACCTCCACACATACACTATGGCATGTGTGCGCACACACACAATGAATAATTAAAATACAATTTTTAAAAAGAAAAAAATTAAAATTGAAAAAATAATGCTTACCTCTGTTCATCACCTGCAGTTACATCATGTAAAAGCACGTAATATTTAAGTGTATTTGGGATAAACCACTTAGGGTAGGAAAAATCACTGTTGTGCTGGATTCGATGCTGTTCTTGTGACAACTTGGAAAATTGTTCCATAGGTTCAGCCTCACCAGACGATGACACCAACATGCCTTGTAAACCACACTATTAAGGAAATTATCACACCACTCCATGATAAATGCTGACCTATTAATATAAACTTTAGGGAGAAATTTTCTAGCCAGGCCTGGTAGCACAGGCCTATGATCTTAGCTATTTGGAAGACTGAGATAGGAGAACCACAAGTTCAAGGCTCGGTCTTGACTACAGCGTGTAGTCAAGGCCACCCTAGGGAACTCAGCAATACCCTGGCCCCAAATAAAAGGTAAAAAGAGGGCTGGGATTAGCTCAGGGTAAAGTGCTTGCCTAGCATATGTTATGTCCTCAGTTCAGTCTCAAGTAGATATTTTGTCAGCTAATGTTTAAGAAGCCTGACTTCACAGATTTTCACTGAAAGCCCTAACCCTTACAGATTTTTTGTCATAGGAATCATAATGAAGAACACTAGGGAATCTCACTCACCTGCACTGTCTCACTGCAGTTTCAGATGCTATCCTATTTCTTAACTTTTCTCTGAAACCTTGTTAAGAAACTAAGAAGCTGCCATGAATGGTGGCTCATGCCTGCAACCCCAGCACTAGGGAAGCTGAGGCAGGAGGATCACAGAGTTTGAAGCCATCCTGGTCCATACAGTGAGTTCCACATCAGTCTGAGATACACAGGGAGACTCTGTCTCAATAAACCAAAAGAGTTGAGGCCAGCAAAATGGCACACTGGTCAAAGCATCTGTTGCACAAGCCTGGCAACCTATCTTCAATCCCTAGAACCCAAGTAAAGGTGGAAGGAGATCCAAAGCCACAGTTATCCTCTGACCTCCACACACACACACCATGACATGTATATCTGTACACACAAATCATACACACACACACAAAGTTTTTAAAAGCCAGGCCGGGCGTGGTAGCACACCTTTAATCCCAGCACTCAGGAGGCAGAGGCAGGTGGATCTCAGTGAGTTCGAGGCCAGCCTGGTCTACATACTGAGTTCCAGGCCAGCTGGGGCTACTGGGGAGACCCTGTCTCAAAAAAAAAAAAAAAAAAAAAAAAGACAAACAAACCACCATGAAAAACGAAACTAATTGTCCATCATCAAAGTGAATAAAAATGTATTAAGCCAGGCATGGTAGCACTTGGGGGAGGTAGAGGCAGGCAGATCTCTGTGAGTTCAAGGCCAGCCTAGTCTACATAGTGAGTTCCAGGCCAGCTGGGGCTACAGGGAGACCCTGTCTCAAAAAGACCAATAAAAGAAAAAATGTATTAAAGGGGCTGGAGGGATGGCTCAATAGTTAACAGCACTGTCTCCCCTTGCAGAGGACCCGGGTTTGATTCCCAGTACCCACATGGGGGCTAACAAATGTCTGTAACTCCAGTTCCAGGGGATCTGGTACCCTCCTCTGACATCCGTGGGCAATGCAAGATATGGCTGCACCTACACACATGCAGGCAATATACTCATAAACACAAAATAAAAATAAGTAAAAGTACCAGATTGATGGAACTAACCTTATTGGATGTTTAACAGCCATACTTTGAGGTCTAAACTAATCTGGTCAGAGGGACTTAAAGGACAGGTTTTGCTCCTTGCCCTCTAAGGTTGACTAAGTTCCAGGGGACTATGGAGCATCTCTCAAAATGTCCTGTAACTGTGGTAAGTCACCTGTCCTCCTGTTCAAGGAGGCCATGGAGACCCCACCAGATAGATTTGAACCAGTGTCCAGTCTACAAAGAGGAGGGTCAACTAAGAGGAAACAGCTCATCCAAGCTTCCAAGTGAAGCTAGCCACGGGCAAGCAGGACCTTTGACTTATCTTCACATAGATGGAACTGATAAAAGGAGCCAGGAGCTCCTCCCATGTGACCCCTAAGGAACAGATTCTCAAAGGACCCAAAGTGTAAAACACTAATTGGTTCATTTGGGCCAACTGCATGGTCTTAAATACTCAAAGGGAAAGTATAACCAGAGTAAAGTCATCAGTATATTTCTTTAACAGTTCAAGGGATTACACTTCCCAGACATTAGGCTTAAATCCATATAAAAGATTATTTAGACAATTATTTCTCATTGATGATTTTGTTTCTAAGCAGAAAGTGCTGCTTGGGCTGGAGAGATGGCTCAGCGGTTGAGAACACTGGCTGTTCTTGCAGAAGACCCGGGTTCGACTCCCACTACCCACATGGCAGTTAACAAGTGTCCGTAACTCCAGTTTCAGGGGATCCAACAGCCCCTTCATTTTCTAAAAAAAGAAAGTGCTGCTCAGATGTGAGACTTCAAATCTTGGTCTGCAATAATACTGTAGTGCCCACCTGTAGCTAAGGAAGACAAGCCACTATTTCTCCCCCTATCTAGAAGCCTTTGAGAGGGAACTGACACTGATTCTAACCACTCCAACAGCTATCAAAATACCTGAAAGCAAATCCTGAATCCATCACTCTCGAGTTCAGCCTTGGAAGGCAAAAGAAAAATGAGGGGGGACCCAATAAAGGGATGCTTTTGGAAGCTCTTGTCAAGAAATCCCAATGGACTCTGATACGAACATTTGAAATTTGCCCTGTTCTGACTTTTTTCTGATTCCCTGTCTAGAACTTATAATTCCAACTACTCTTGCCTTTACTTCTCCTTCATATCATCTATTCACCAGCCAAGGAATGTCTATTCTCCCTAGAAATAAGAGTTATGCAATTTGGGAGTCTTTTAGATAGACCCACTGAAGGGGTACCCCAATTGCCTCACCCTGTTGTCTCTGTTCAGCAATGGAAGAAGCCAGAGCAGTCTGCATCCCGATTACCTACTGACAATTTGGGTAACCTCTTCAGGGGATGGTGTGATAAGAATAGGAGGTA